ATTGATAAACAAATAGCAATGAGACAGTTTCAAAACTGATTAGTAGGACAGCTTCAATAATTAATACATTGCATATTGTTGTCTTCATAGTGGTTATTCATAGTACAAGATACAGACATGATATTCTGTCCAAACACTATTAGTACAAATCTTTCTTCTCATTGAATTAGGAGACAGTAGCTGTATATCTATCCTAACTATTTTGTATATACAGATTCAAAATGGACTTTCATTTGTATCCCCTTTTTTTGTTTAGTTTTGTCAGAGAAGGGAATTCCATTGTGATTTAAATATTGCAGGTGCATGAATTCAGCAAAATAATCCAATATAGTCCAGCAGTCCATAATAGTAGTGGGTTGTCCATAGGACTGGCAATGTCAGAAGTAATTGACTTGAGCTTTTTACAGCTCAGCATACTAATATGGCTTTACTTTTTATACCTCGTTTCTATAATTTTCTGCTGGATGGTTGAGATCAGGATAAAGCAAGACCTATTTAACAAGAAATGTAACTTTTATATCTGACAATGTTGTAGGCAGCCAAGTTAGATAGAAATATTATAGGCAGTCAAACAGGGCCAGGACGACAAGGTGACTTTGCAACTTGGAAGAGACACACTCCCATATGGGCCTCACCTCAAGACCAAGACAAAAAGAGGAAGCACAGCTACATACTTCCCTAGGGATGGGCATTAGGGATTGATATCCTAAATAGTATCAATCAACTTGAAAGAGCCCAAATGAGTCACTAGCCCAACCCTCAACCAGAAGACAGCCTGTTCCGTATTTGTGCTCCCTTGCTGCGTAACTCGCTTTCCCATTTGATACTGGATTTACTCAATTTTACCTGAGCAGTGGTGCTTGTAATCTCATTGGTTGACCATAGTTTTGTCCCACCTCATGCCCAATTAAGCAGTTCCCATGTCTTCTTCATCACCTTAGACCCGCCTCACCACATGGTTTTCCTCTATAAAAGTCCCTGCAAGAGACAACTTCCTGGCGGGGAGGGAACTACCCACTCGGCTCCCCGCTCCTGTCCCTCTCTTGGGACAGGAGCTTTCTTTCTCTCAATAAATATATCCTGCTCATAACCTCCGTTTGTTCCTAAAATTCATTCTTCAGTTTTAAAGAACACGAACTCGTGCAGGTCAGGTCCAGAGGTCGTTTTTCTCTATGTCATTTGGAGGTTACCCACCCGAGGCCAGTTTTTCTCCCTGTATCAACAAGACAGTCAAATCCCCTCAGGATTTAGCCTGAAGCCCTGTACTACAGTTTGTAGATCCTTTGTTAGTGTCAGCCATATGGATGAGTTGAGAAATGAATTCTAGAAACAAGAGTTAGGCTGGGCCTGGTGGCACAAGCCTGTAATCTCAGTACTCAGGAGGCTGAGGCAGGAGGATGACCTAGACTATATAATGAATTCAAGGCTAGCCTGAACTACAAAGCAGGAACCCTGTTTGGGGTCCTGCTAAAAAAAACTAAGGAACAGACAAAAAGCAAAGAGTAAAGAATTTCTTGAGAGAAAGTTCTTTCTAAAAGACAGATGAGAGCCCGGAAAGTGAGTTGCCCACCAACTCTGATTCTCAAGGTGTTTTTTTAAGCAAAGTGATGAGGTGAGGTAGATTCAAGGTGGGACAGAACTACAGTCAACTAGTAAGATTACAGGTGCAGTTGCTTAGGTAATAGTAAGTGGGGATCAAATGGGGATGCGAGTCATGTAACAAGGGCACAAGGTTCCAAACAAGGATTTTCCAGGAAGAATGGTTTCGGGATGTTTTGTTCCCCCACCCAAGGTGATTGCTGCCTATTTAGAAGGCCAATCACAGCTGTGCATTCCTAGGGAGGGATGTGGGTGTAGTCCTTCTTCTTCTTGAAGCCTGGCCTTTAGTGAATCCCCTTCCAGCTACCATTGTCTTCTGTGAGGAGGGCCCAGCCCTGTCTTACTGCCCTGATATTTATAACTAACTTAGCTGTCCACCACAAAAGACTAAAAATGACTGGCATCTTCACTGAGTCGTATCTGTAGTAGATGTTTTCCAAGGGTACTGTGCCAAGTGACAGATCTTAAAGATTAAATATAAAACCCAAGCATGGTAAAGGCTTAACTGTTGCATGGTTACTCTTATAAGGGAAAGCCACAGTATAAATGAAGAAGAAAATAAAAGATATGTGACAGGAAGTAGGAAGAGAGGTTCCTTCCGGAACCATGTGTGTGCGTGCGTGCACGCGCATGCGAGCACACACACGCGCACACACACACACATCTGGGTAGGGTGGAGCACACGTGCAATCCCAGCATTCTAGAAGGCTGAGGACTGCAAGTTAGTTACCCAATGTGGGCAACTTAGCAACTGAGTGAGATGCTGTCTCACAGTAAAATAAATAAATAAATAGGCAGGTGTGGAGGTTCATACCTGTAATCCTAGGATTTGGGAGGCTGAAGCAGGAGGATCGTTCTAAGTTTGAGGATCCTTCCAAGTTTAAGACCAGACTGAGCTACAATGTGATCTCAAGGCCAGTCTAAACTGCACAATGAGACCCTGTCTCAAAAAGACCAAAAATAAAAAAATAAATGAATAAATAAATAAACGGCTGGGTTATAGCTCAGTGTGGAGGCCATGGGTTCATTCCGCATTACTGAAAAACAATAACTTAATACAAATTACAGAAAAGTAGCTTTTTCCAGAAAGAGTTCTTTTGTCTGAGTGCTGTGTCCAGGAAAAGGCTTGAAGGAATTCTAGATAAACACAGGAGAGATCCTTAACGAAAGAGTCGTCGGGTTGATTACATACCATGATTCGCACAGATGAAACTGCGTGCAGTTTAGCTGTGCTCTAGAACTGATTCCTAACAACACCCCAGCCTGAGAAATGGAGAATTTTTCCCTGGGTCCTTGCTTGTTGGTCTCCCACATTTCCAGGACCTGTGAAACAGTTGGCAGCCACCTCATTGATCCATTAGCTCTCAGCTGGGGTGGAGAACTAAGGACCACAGGTCAGCCCAACCCCGTGTTCAAAATAACTGTGAAGGCAATGCCTACCGCAGGGGGAGGAGCTCTTGGACATTTTTTTTTTTTTTTTGGAAGCAGGGATTGAACTCAGGCCCTTGCGCTTGCCAGGGAAGCACTTATTCCACTTAGCCATCTCCCGGGCCCTCTTGGACAATGTTAAGGTATAAGCTCAGATTTAGAAAGTTGAGTGTAAACTTGTATCTTCTTCTGGGTTTTATTTTTGTTTTTGTTGTTGCTTCTTTCTTTTGCTGGGACTTGAACCTCTGGCCTCAGGCATGCTAAGCAAGCTCTCTACTACTAAAGGTCAACTTCTGCTTTCCTCTGAGAGCTCAGAATGTGTGCCGGCACACACCTGCAATCACAGCGCTCAAGAGGCTGGGGCAGCTATGGGTAGATATGAAAACAAGGCACGGTATCTATAACACTACATTGCCTTCTTTCTTTTTCTTGTATTGGGGATTGAACCCAGGATCTTTACTTTGAGCTACAGCTCCAGCCCTTTTTTTTTTTTTAATGTATAAATTTGAGACAAGGAGCTTGTCCATGCTGGGCTCAAACTCTCAGTCTTTCTACCTCAACTTCCCAGAGTGCTGGGATGACAGTCGTCCCACATCCAGCACAGCATGCTTTTCTTAAACATATTAGCCCTTATTCACCAGAAGGCCCCGGTTACTTTGCGCAGTCGCTTAGCCAGTGAGGTCAGCTTGTTAATGAACGCCTTCCTGAGGACTGGCCTCAGCAGCCGAGGAAACAGAGTCCTGAACAGAAAGTGGCTCAACCACCCGTCATGTGCCGGTGTGGAGAGGAAGGGGGGGGGGGGATCTGTGGAAAAAGACAGGTTGAGCAATTTATTTTCAGGCGTGACATTTTTTATTGACAGGACATCTCTCTAGGCAGGGTTCACATGCTTGGGACCGAGGCTTTTAACTTGGCAGTGCCGTTTAAGCAAACAAATCCACTCAGCCGAATGCAATGATTAACAGGAAGCTGAGCGCAGGCGGTCACAGCCCGGCTGGGAGAAGAGACCGGGTTTGAAGTTTCAGGGCTACTTGCAGAATGGTCAGCTCAGCCGCTGGTGACTTTGCTGTGGAAAGAAGGGGGCGCCCCGGCCCCCGGGAGTGGTTTTGTTCAGTAATAAAGATCCGGGGAGTGGAGGGAAGCAACCCAGCGCGGCAAATGCAAAGAAGCTACCTCAGAAATGTGTCAAAGAAAAGTGAAAACGCAACTGAACTGTAAATGAAGACGGAAGGGGAGGGGAGCAAGGATAGAAGACAAAAGATGTTAGTCGCTGACAAGAGTCGCATTCGCCGCAGGGACCATGCAGGAGCCTGGAGACACTGTAAGTTAAAGGCGTTGAAGTGCTGATCTTATCTCAGAATTTCAGACCTCCCGCTCACTGCTCACTTCCTGGTTCTCACGATGGTCTCCTGTAAGTACTCTCTTTTCAGCGTATCTCTTCTTAGTGCTCTGATTTTTGTATTTGTTTACAACAACAAATTACAGGAGGACAGGCGTTTTCTGAGGGCAGCTCTGCTTAATGCTTCGCTCCTAGCAGAAACCTGTGTTGAGCTGCTTAAGGGGGAGGTTTTCCACCTAACGGAAAATGCGCTGAAGACAACCCTCGCGGAGGCCACCTGTTCTGAGTACAGGGTCCAGAGTCATTACATAACGCAAACTCTCTCCGAAGAAGAAGCTGCCTTTCCTCTGGCCTTCACGATGACTGTTCACAAAGACTTTGGCACTTTTGAGCGACTCTTCAGGGCGATCTACATGCCCCAGAATGTCTACTGTGTGCACGTGGACAGGAAGGCAACAGCGACGTTCAGGCTCGAGGTGGAGCAATTGCTGAGCTGCTTCCCAAACGCCTTCCTGGCTTCCAGGACAGAGCCCGTGGTCTACGGTGGGATCTCCAGGCTTCAGGCCGACCTGAACTGCCTGAGAGACCTGGTGGCCTCCGAGGTGCCCTGGAAGTACGTCATCAACACCTGCGGGCAGGATTTCCCCCTGAAGACCAACAAGGAGATCGTCCAGTACCTGAAAGGGTTTATAGGGAAGAATCTGACGCCCGGGGTGCTGCCCCCAGATCATGCCATTGGACGGACTAAGTATGTACATCAGGAATTATTAGACAGCAGAAATTCCTATGTGCGCAAGACAGCACAGTTAAAATCCCCTCCTCCTCATAATATGACCATCTACTTTGGCACTGCCTATGTGGCCCTCACAAGGGAATTTGCTAACTTTGTCCTGCAAGACCAGCAAGCCCTGGACTTACTTTCCTGGTCCAAGGACACCTATAGCCCTGATGAGCATTTCTGGGTGACACTTAACAGGATTCCTGGTGAGTACCTCTCTCTTTGTTATTGTAATGAGGAGGCGGGCTCTCCCTAAGTCACCCCAGCTGGCCTGGAATCCCCAGGATCACGTGATCCTCAAGGGCAGTTGGGCCTTCAGAACCATCCCAAAGGCCTGGCTCCTGTCTGGTTTTTATGAATAAATGTAGTAAGGTCAATCCTGAAAAGAACTGCTTAAAAGATAGTAAGAAAACATTTAATGTTTTGAACTTTTTACCATCTCAGATGTTAATTTTAATAGGAAATACTGATTTTTGTGGACTTGACCTTCAATCAGAAATCATAGTTGTATGTATTGATGGGTACACCATGCCGTAGTGATAGACACCCAGCTTCCCGCAGCTAAATGAGTGTTCTTTCGGAATAGAAGAAGAGGGATAACTACTTTCAATTTTTCATTCTCAAGTTCCTTTCTAGAATTGAAATAGAAATTTGGAGCAGTTTAAGGATTTCTAGTTCTTCATTTTATAGATAATCCACTGGCTGACCAGATGCTCAAATCATGTAGTGTGTAGACAAGCATGCTGGTTATAAATCGAGTCAACAAAGCCTGGTGTTCTTTTTGCCCTGATTTTCAATTAGGTCTCAGTTGTCACTAAATTAATTCTACAGACTCCAAATGATGACTTGAATAATCTCAGATTATTTGTAGGGAACTGACTCAACAGCTAGTTCAACTTAAAATACAAATTTAGACTCAAAGTTCAAGGGAAAAAAGTATTGTCAATCTGAGGATCAAATTCATGGTTTCTTTAGATGGGTGATTCTATCTTGGATCTCTGACTCACCGGCCAGGCCCATTTCCTGGAGAATCTCCTTTGTAGTTCACCTTGCAGGGGATCTCCAAGGGAGGCCATGGCTGAGGCTTGTTTTTTATGTAGTCATAGGAAGCTTCTTAGATGCAAAATGCTTTTTAAATCTAATTTTCTCAGAGCAGGAAGGAATGCGGTCATGGTTCAAAGAAGCAGGGTGTATGAAGGGCGTGGTGGCTCCCGCCTGCAATCCCAGCATGCTGGGAGACCGAGGCAAGAGGAGGCAAGTTTGACCTCAGCCTGCGCAACTTAGTGACCTAGCAAGACCTCTTCTCAAAATAAAAAGTACAGTCTGGAGCTGTAGCTCAGTGTGAAGGCCCTTTCAATCTCCAGTACAAAACAAAACAAAAGAAGCAGGACTTAAGGAAGTCGGTCAGCCCCCATCTGGCGCTGTTTAAATAGGATTGTGTCAAAAATCCTGAAAGCAAAGCACTCCTCTCAGGTGTATTCTGTTACTTGGACTGTGATGGAGCTTATTCCACATTCTGCAGCAGACTGTGAGGGTGGACAGCCACAGAACAGATCTCTAAGAGAGTAGCCCTAAAGGGAAATGGCCGTTGTTCTACAAGAAAGGATCAAAACAAGAATATTCAGTCTGGCAAAACTTGAAGAGTCTTAACTAAAAGATGGTTGTGATTCCCACTCTTTGAGTGGAGCTGTTGTAAAGTTTGTTGTTGGTTTTATTTTATATACATATGAAATGGAATAGTATTTAGCCTTGCAGTGGGTGGGACCAGCTCGAACTCTGAAATAAAAATCTGGGGTAGCCCATGGGACGGAGGAGAGCGGCTTCCCTAGCCAGGAGGAGCATTGTGAAGGGACAGGGGGCAGGAAGGCACTGCTCCAAGGACTTTGGACTCTATCACCCTGAAGGCACGTGCGTGTAATCAGCGTCTTTCCTATTCATTCATTCACTCATTCAGCACTAAGGACTGAGCCCAGGGGTTCACACAGAGTTATATCCTTGGCCTTTTTTTTTTTTTTTTGAGGGAATTATCTTGCTTAATTTTAATTGCCTAAGCTGAGCTTGAATTTTTCATCTTTCTGCCTCTGCCTTCCAGAGTCCCTTTGTAGTCAATTTCTTTGTTTTGTTTTATCTTTTTAGGCAGGGTTTCCCTGTGCAGTTCAGGCTGGCCTTGAACTCACGATTTCTAGCCCAAGCTAGCCTCCAATGAACATGCAGTGATCCTCCTGCCTCAGCCTCCCAAGTACTGGGCTTACAAGTGTGCACCACCATACCCAGCCTATAATCAATTTCTTGAACAGAAAGGTGAATATAACACTCTGACTTTTCAACATGATTTATGTATCAGAACTGAATTTTTACACCACGGGTTAGCAACACATTCACTAAAGCAATGAAAAACATTCATGGATTCATGCATTTTGAAAACCTACAAGAGTTAGCGCCTGAAATGGTTTCCATGTTTAATACATGGAGGAGCTTTTCCTACGAATGGCTCTAGTAGATCCAGCCAACTCTTGCCACCCCGGGGCAGGCCTGTATGGAGACCCTACTCAGGGGTTGGGCTCCCTGGGATAAGTAGCTGCCTTGTTTAATGATTAATCCTCCTCTATGGAAATCTTGTGGTGAGAGCTTTCCTAGTTGATGTTGGTGGATAGAGGCGTGAAGATTTTTTCCAGTTAATTCTAGGGATTATAGGCTTACTATTATGATTCTCAAAATATTAAGGCCAGAAAAAATATCCCACAGCTAAAATGGCATATAGGGACTTAGAACACTTGCTAAAAGAAATACAACATAGGCCACATACCTAATTTTTTTTCTTTTCTTTTTAAATTTTATTTATTTATTTATTTATTTATTGTGTGTGTGTGTGTGTGTGTGTGTGTGTGTGTGTGTGTGTGACCAGCTCAGCCCACCAGGGAGTGGGGCTGGCTGGCATGTGGTGCTGGGGGATTGAACCGTGGTC